ATAGGAATACTATGACCTCTTATATCCTACTGGTCATTTAAGTTTGAAATTGGGTTTTACACATAGATTTATAGAATGATGAATATATGTCTAGGAAATAGAAATTGTAGGGACGTATATTGGACAATATAGTAAATTAAGCTTAGGCCCATAAAATTCATTTTTAATCATCATAATTAAAAATGTTGCAGGTTTTTTTTTTTCTAGTCAATTTGTTCAGGCAATATATGGTTGAGAACCATAAATAAATTTACAGTACCCACTACATACATACATGCATGGATGCATGCATACATACATACATGCATGTATGCATGCATACATACATACATACATATATACATATACCATAGACCGTTAATAACTTGGTTAACTTAAAAGTGAATTTGAGCTCAAATAATTTACCTTGAAAGTAAAAGGGAATAGAAACAACAGACTTGCCTGATTTAAGAGACCCAGACATAAAACTTTAACACCCTTTCCCTCTGCTTGAATTATGGCTTCCTCAATCAGACTGTTGATTGCTTCATTTTGCCATTGCAAGTAGTACTGCATTAAGGTATAAATTAAATAATTCTTTTTCTTTACCTAATATGATTTATTAAAGTGCAAGTTTGAAATCTCTATATTTTTTTTTAACACAAGTGATAGTCTAAAGAAGAAATTGGTCTCACTTGCAAATTGTACTTTGGTATAACCCAAGTTTGTACTCTGAGATTATCAAAACGCTGCCGCTCAACCACAAATGTACGGCCATAGATCCAAGTTAGAATCATAGACCACAATGTTACAGGCCACATCAACCATAGGTACCATTTTGATGTGTGGGGCAGGGAGGCCAAAGAAGCAAATCCTAGCGGTAGATGATAGATGGATTCAGGTGTTGTTAGATGGGTTAGATGAAGGACATCTGGCGTTTCTTCCTCTCTCTTGAGTGCAGTTTCGTAGAGAGCATCTGAAGATTTGTCCATGGTTTCATATATGTAGTCGTAGATTGGCATAAAAAGTGAGTAATTGGTTCTGAATTGTGTGTGATGCAAGGAGTGGTATCTGCACACAATTAAGTTACTACATCAATTATAAACAAATTCAAAAGTAATTTTGTTGAATTAATATGTCATTTTCCAACCCCGAATATATTACAAAGCATATGCTATGACTATACAATTTTTGCAATTAAATTAGCTCTCCAATTGAAAATTTATTTCATCTTTCCACCTAACAGCTTAAGGTTTCGGGTTGATACTTCAATTTTATATCACAACCACCAAATCTAGCTCACCTTGGACCCACTTAAGAAGCTCACTTTGAAATAGACAACCTTAGTCCTTCTCCCCTAATAGGTTAAGGATTTAAGTTTTTTGTTTGTTTGTTTGAAGGTTTTGAATTAGATATACTTAGGAGTACACTAATTTTCGTATTTCAGTATTATACAATAATTGAGAGAGAGAAAGAGAGATCGAGCTTGAGACTTACGACGGTGTATACATAAAATACTTAAGAGGAGGAAATAGAGAAAAGAGCCAGTTTGGAATGAGCTCGAAATTGCAGTGCCCCATGTTGTTCATGAAGTCAATGTAAGTAACATAACCAGCAAAGGATGCCATAGAAATAGTTCTCGTCAATATAGTGGCCAGAATTGGTATAAAGAAGAGCGCAGAATATACCATGTGCTCCGCAAATGGATGAATCACAGCTGCAACAAATTAAACATTTATTAAATGATGAATCTAAATAAGTAACATTCGTAATTAAACATTGAAATAATTTTCTTTATTATTTGGTTCTTACAAGTAATTGGCTGAGTAACGATTGAGGAATGGTGATGAGAATGGTAGCGAGAGTAGAGGTAATGATGGTGAAGTGCTCTGTGAAACCAATAATACAGGAACTCCACTGGACCAGCATGAAGCACAATGCTTAGAAGAACTCCATGTGGCCTCCAAAGTGGCAGCTTTTGAGCCCCAGGCAGGTGCCTGCTGCCTGTGTAGAATAGAAGTGCATTGAACAATATCTGGTCATCCCTGCACTCCAAACCGAAACAAATTAAATAAATAAGTATTTGTTTAGCCACCTAATTTTCTCTTTTATACCAGCGATATTAGGGATAGGGGGAATCAAACATAAGAACTCGAATGTAGGGGTAAATACTCTTAACCAATTGACTGATTGTTTAGTCATCTTATGAGTTATATATTATACATGTTTTTTATGTTTATTAATTTATACTGACCAATTGTTTTCTCTGTCGACCTGTTCGAATTCGAGACCCCTGTCAAGGATTCGGCCATTGCCTTTGGCAGTTCGATATCGAGACAGAGAGATCCAAATCTGGTTGTGGATGATCCTCCACAACACCACTCCAAGCATGAGGAAGTATGAAACGTCTCTTTCTTTTGCATCGTTAGCCACAAACAACCAGGTGCTGTGGATGATCCATGGAGCCAAGATCACGTACTGCATGCATATATATCCCGGGCCCATATAAAAGTTAGAACACCAAAATATGCTCAAATATATATATATATATATATGATGAAGCTGGACAGAAAACAATGGAAGTATGTAGTGAGGTATGGCTTGTATACGTAGCTTGCAGTTCGACATGTCATATAATATGCAGGCATGAACAAGAGAGAGAGAGAGAGGGCCACTCAGTAAGAATTCCAGGTACAGAAGCCATGTTCTTCTTTGTTTCTATGTAGTCTAGCTTTGAAGGAGTATATGATATATATAATAGATATATACTTCAAGGTAGGTACTGTGGAGTCCATATAAGCAATTTCTTCTTCTTTTTTTTTCTTTTAATGGGAAGATGGCTGGTTGTTTGTTATAAATTTTGATAAAGAAAGTGATGAATTATACAATATCAGAGTGACCGTGTCCACCTACTTTTTTATACAACTGTAATGATAAATTTACTTTTTTTTTAGAACGACTCAGGGAAAGAACTTACTCTAAAAAATTTCCAAAAACAACTCCTCAAAGTGGTCCTAAGTTTAATTTTCCCTTTCTCAATGTCGCTTATATAAAAATTTAAAAAAAAATTAAAAGAATCATCAAAGCCAACGGAATCTACATATTTTAGTGAAAAAGAGTCTTGACTTACAGATTGATGATCTTAGGTTCAAACCCCCATGACACCTTGGTAGTAGTGTGTAAGAAACTCATCCTCCCTCTTGTAGTTCAGATTGTCGCTAGTATTAAAAGGAACTTCACCAAAAACAAATATTACCTCCAAATAAAAAATAATCATACATTACTCACACACCTCTCTACACCCGTCGCCTACAAATTAAATCCTTACATTCAAAATTAAACCCCTAAAACCCCTAAATTTTCAACTTTAACCCCTAAAACTGATGCCAACCTCTTTTTTGTTCTTAATTAAAGCCCACAAGCAATCTTTATTGTTGAGGAGAAGTGGAAAGAAAAAGAGCACCAAGCATACGCCAAAAATATCCAACAATCTAGAAAGGGTAATACTAGCAGGGAACTTTACCAAGGCCCCCAAAAAAGTGCAAATATGCATGCCTAATAAATTGGATCTAGGTTTTCGAACATGTGCACCGGTGCCTAACTAATAAATATAGGCCCGACGAATCAGCATGTGTGGTTTAGCTGATAAGAAATTTTTGGGCGTTCCCGGCTTGTGTACCGGCCGCATGACCATTAATGTGAGCAAATAATTGGTTGCATGAAGTGAGGTTTGTGAAGAACCTCCTTTGTTTGCTTGTTTAATTTTTTCTACATAAGCAAATAATAACAATAATTATTCTTATTGTCAATAAATAATAATTAATTGGAAGAGATTCATGAAATAATAAGAATTGCATTTCTCAAAATTGGGCTTTAATATGGTGAATTATCACTTAGTTGTAGAGATTCTCCACATGCTCATTTGCATCCCGTCATTTCTTTGCTTCTTTTGTCCTCCGCTTCAATATGTATTGAGATGGTATCTTAGTAACCTCTTTTACATTCAATATCCTTAGAGCATGACGACAAAACAAACCCATAGATTCAAACATCTTGCAACTATATAAGACATTGAAATTTAAAGAGTCAACATGCACTCTTTTGCGACCCTCCTCATTAAGCTCAAAGGTTTGGAGTGTTCCATCACTTCTAGTTTGACGCATTCTTACCGCTAAACTATCAATAACCTTAGTCTCAAATAATTTTAAATTTTTTCTCGTGTAGGCATTAGCAGCATGCAGAAGTTCACTTTTTTTGGCATCTCTGGAAGGTAATCCCTTATTACATCAAAAAGTTTCTTCCAACTCTACCATTTGCTCGTTTATCATAATGATACACAAATTCAGGTTGCCACATTGTTTTAGCACACATATGATGAAAAACATTATTCATACTCTCATTTCTTTGGGAAGCCTTGATCCTAACAGGGAAAGTATATAGGCTAAACACTGGACACCACTTTTCATGAAGCTGATTTAGGGTCTTAAGCCATGTGTTATCTAAGAATGTCTCAAACAACCACCGAAATGTAAGAATTTTTTCATCCAACAAAAAAGCACAACCAAGCAACACATTATGCCAATGATATTTAACCCCTACAAAAGGAGTGCAAATCATGTTGTACCCGTTGGTTCGATATGTAGTATCAAATACCATCATGTCCCCAAAGCACTCATAATCTGGACCTTCCATCCCTAAAAAAAAAAGTTTGTTACTTGGTTTTCTTGATCTACTTGCACTGTGTAAAAGAACATTGGATGTTCAACTTGCTTGTGCTTGAAAAGATTGATCAAGCTTTGAGCGTCCCATGCTCCAAGTAGATTTGTTTTTCCTTACTCACACAATTGTAGCAATATGTCTTGGTAAATCCAACATTTTAAGATCCACCTACTATTTCTGCTAAATACTGATCAGTATGTATTTGAAGTTCTTATACCCGCACTCATTATAGTTTTAATCACACCCTTATGAGCTTTTGAAATTTTATGATTTGATCGTAAAAATTGTCTTTCTAATGTTGGTAAATCCAACATTGCCCGTATAAATTTATTTTCCCACAAAAATCTACGAACATGTCTGAGTAGAATTTACATAAAGCAAGCAACATTTTCCTTCATCAAATGATGAAGCTAGCGCTATAGTAGAAGTTGGGGTTTTTTTTTTTTTTTTTAATAAAAAAAATTGCGATAGAAGTTGGTATATATGTTCCTATTGCTTCAATCAAAGAACGAAGTCTTTTTTTTATATTTTTTAATGGTTGATGGAGTATATCTAACAATGTGTAGATCTAAACTCAATTGCTTGCACCCTTAAATATTTTATATGAAGGTCAACCAAAAACCACTCCCCTCCATTGGAACAAAGCAAGAAAAAGAGAGAAGAGATCTGTTCATTCAAGTTTGGTGAAGTAAAAACCGTAGGTGGCAGAAATTAATGGGGTTGATGGGCAAAATAGCAAGCTCCATAAACACCACAACAGGAATCTGGAAAAATTCCATTGTCACCGCAATGCTCAATATTTACCATCCAAATCATTGCAACAAGGACATGTCCAGTGTTGCTTTTGTCCATACTGTGTGGTGTGCCTACAAGAAGTGATGGAGGGCCAAAGGTGCCGAAAGCGGCCCATATGCAACCATTGCTTCCATGTTCATTGCATTGATACATGGTTCCAGTCAAATTCTACTTGCCCTTTAGAGCACTTCCAGCAACTAGCCCTTTGCCATGGCAAGGAGGGGCTAGGGCAGCTACTATTCACATGAATAGTGGCTGCCCTTGCAAAAAGCAATGTTGGTTTCCAGCAATTGCCATGGCAAAGGGTAAAAAAAATTGAACTCCGCGCGCTGAGGTCATGGCTGACGTTAGTCCCCCTCGTTTTGGATCTCGGGCTAGACCTGCCCTTGGGCCAGCCCGTCTTCGTGGCCCCCACCTCCTGCTCGGGCCAGCCTTAGCTGCTGGACTTGCTCTTATGCAGAACTAATCAGGTCTCTTTTGTTCATAAGCACCATCTATTGTCGTCTTTCATTTTTGGAATTTTTTATAGGGAAAAGGTATCCTCTCAACTCTGAGACTTCCATTGCGATGATCATAAATTCAGGGGCAGCCCTAGCATAGTGCAGGGCCACCGATATTTGAAGCCCCATAATTTTTTTAACTTTATATTATATATATTAATATTATAAAAACTGTATATATACTCCAGCATGTAGCACAATGAAACAAAAGTGTATTTGGTGGAGCTTGTTTCTAGTGCATATTTAGGGCCAGTCCTAAGATTTTGAGGGCCCTGTGCGAAACTTAAACTAAGATCCTCACATAATCTAACACAAACTTACACCATGATATACAACAATATTTTTTAAAGTACAAAAATCATCATCAAGTAGCATGCAAATC